CTTTCCCCCCCCCCCCCCCCAATCATACACATGATATGAGTTTTGCTTTCAAGATTTTGGGGTGCAGTTCCCCCAGACCCCTGCACTGATCTTGAAATTTGGCAGGCTTCATGCTCTCAGCAGAGACTACTAACCTTGCAAGTTTCATCCAAATCAAACAAAAAACAACAAAGTTAGAGATATTTCATTAATTCCCCATTATACCCTATGGCTGGATATCCTAAGTTGCTACAAAGCTTTTCCAAAGTGCTTTGGAAGCTCTGCCTTTCCCGGTGCTGTAGGTGCACTCAGTGCTTTGGTTTCTCCACAAAACTAACATGAAGGGTCTGAGAAGAACAGAACGATCCTGCTGACAAGCACTGGGCTGAGCATGAGTGTGTAACCCGGGCAGTACTCCAAGAGGTACCCCCTCTCCAACTGAAGGGATCAAAGCAGGTGCACAAGCACTGGGGGAGGTGTAGGGGCTCTCCTCCCCCTATAGAGCAGAGCCAGACCCCCACTGGGGACTTAACCATATACCTTTTAATGAGGGAACAATACTGGGAACATAACAAGCATAAACAGGGGATATAGTGGACACTACAATGCCCCAAGGGGGCAGGATTCAACAAAGGTTAGACACTTACAATCATTGGCAAAAGACAGGGTTAACAAAATACAAAACACAAACAGCAGAACAAACAATACTGGTTGGGGAAATATAAAAAGGCACAAGATACAAAATGTCCAAGGACAAAGAAATATAGGGCCTAGGTACCTGGAGGAGTAGAAAGGTGGAAAACACAATGGCCCCTTTCCACTGCAAGAGGAATTTCTCCTTGTTAGCTCACTCACCCCAAGTCACCAAAGCTGGGACTTGAACTCATGTCTCCCACATGATAAGCAGGAGCACTGCCACACAGCCACCAATGCTGGGATTCCTCTGAAGTGCTACCTTCCTGGATCCCCGGCCTCATGTCAAGCTGTCTGGTCTCTGATTGGAGCAGCTGGAAGCTGAGCTGGGGACCCCTCAGGTCACGCTCAGATCCCCCTGCCGGCCACAGCCCCTGGTAGGGGATCCTGGAGCCCAGCAGGAAGCCTCTCCTGCCGGCCACACCCCGTGCTGCCTGCAGGTCCTGCTCCTTCAGGCTCTTCTGAGGCCTGCGCCCACCCCGCTGGCTCAGCTCTTTGAAGCTCCTTCCTCCTAATCCCTCACTGGTCTCTCCCTGAGTCAGCGGTGCTGCCCCTTTTCTCCCCCTCCAGGTGACCCCAGGGGCCAATCAGGGGTCATGAGGGGTGAGTCTCTGGGGCCCTGATTGGTGAGGAAAGGGAATCCCAAGTCCTCCAGTCATCTTTTGCCCTTTCAAAACCCCTGAGCTAGGTCAATGCCAGCTAGCCTGTCACAAGTGTATGAGGCCCATCCTGCCCTTTCCCATTGCTGCTCATCCTCCCACATCCCCCCCAAGAGCTGGACTCCCCACCCCAACCACTGACCATTGCTGCCCACAGAGGTGTAACAGAGCCAGTGATGCTAACTGGCACAGACAGGCATGGAAGTTTTGCTTTCCCACAACTCCCCTGGTTTGTTTGGGCAAGGCTGCTCTGCAGGGCAAATCTCTGCTAGGAGCTCAAGTGCTCTGGACCTGGTGGAAGAACCCAGTGGCAGTCCAGTGAATGGAACAGCTGGGCGTCCCTGGCAGTGCAAGTGGGGTCACAGGTCTAGCAGGGATGGGGCTCATCCTAGAGGATCAAGGTCAGTGGCTCCCCTGTAAATCCGTGACACCAGGGCCAACCATCTACTCATTCTAAGCACCTCCCTGTTCAATGAAGGAAGCTCAGAGACCAACCGACAGCAAATTCAGTCTTTAATGGAGCAAAACAGAACAATCCACTCTCACACAAATCTGGTAGGGCAGGGTCCTATGTCCACAACAGCCAGGCCAGTGTTGTCCTGAGATGCCAGGGGTTGAGAGGGTTCCCAACTGGCCTCCTGCCTGCTGTCGCTCTTGCTGTTCAAGCTCCTTGGGCAGGGGCTCTCAGAGGCTGTTGCCTGCAACCAGCCTCCCAAAACCCAGGTACAACACAGAAAGAACAACTCGAATTTGTGTTGGGAAGCAAAAGCTCAGAGAAGTTGAACGTCTCATAAGACAGTAGCAAGTGGGTCTGTAAAGCGATCAATCTGGCTCAGCAAACCTGCCCAGACAACAGTCAGCGACACGTTACATGCACTGATGCCCACTGAGTCACTATGAAAGGGCAAGCCTCTCAACCACTGTATTTATAGCTGAGATGCCCCCACCTTGCACCAAACCTTCTCTCTTTCTGTCAAGGCATCCCTTTTTACTCATCTCTTGGCTAAGTCTGGACACCTGCAGCTCATGCCTTGCCAACTGCAGTTCCTTCTGCCAAGTTCAGGCATCTAGAGCTTGCTCCCTTCTGAATTCGGGTATCTCCAGCTCACCCCCTGCTGAGTACAGCTCACCTCCTGTTATCTCCTTTACTAGTGAGCTCTAGTGTTGTACCCCTCCATCTGTTCAGCTCCTGTTCCTTACTCTAAACCAGCATTTTGGCTCACTGTATCTTTTATCCAGTCATCCAGTGGTCGGTGAAGCCTGCTATGCCTAAAATCCTTTGCAGTGCCTTAGCTTAACTATAGCTTGGCATGACTACAACCTAGCATCAGCCAGCACCCTCTGGGGTGAGGAGGAATCACAGGCCCCTTTCCAAGCCCTACAGCAGATCAAGGCTGCTGCCTGGGCCCCCTCCCCCCAGGCCAGGAAGCCCTAACTCAGCCAGTCACGAGTCAATTTTGAGATCTCTGCACTAACGACACCATTAGGATGTCAGTACCGACAGATAAGAGGACAGGGTTTCTGTGTCCATGAAGATAGCCCTGAACAAGTCTGCCACTGCAACTGCCAGATGTATCTTATGTAGATCAGAAATGCACTGAGTCAAAGCAGGCTCTGGATTTGAGAAACAAATAGAGGCTAAAACTAGGGAGGACGGAGCACATGATTCACTTGTTCCTTCCCACCCTGAGGCTGTTACCGGCCTTTGGAGGAGTGGTGTGGTGCCCTTGCTGGGCTGCACTTCTTTGCTGTCCTGAGCCCTTCTTCAAAACAACCAGCTCCTGAGGTCCCAGCCCTCATGCCCTGCACCCTGTGCTACAGGCCAAGTGGGGATCAAAGCATTGGTCCATCCCAGGTGTCGAGGGGCTTTGCTGGGATCACACACAGGTTACGGGTGGGGAACGTTCTCATAGATGTCGCTCATGGGCTCGTCTCTCTCTTCTGATGCCCTCACTCTGGTGGCTGAATCCCGGGGGATCATGGGGCTGGGGAGCACAGCATAGGTGACAAGGTGTCCCTAGTGGAGAGAGCACAGGGGTCATGAGCGGGGAGGGGAGGGGATAGACAGAGGCCCCATGAGAGCAGCAGGCTGGGTTGGGAGTGGTGGTAACACTTACATTATCCCTCTCAGCAGTTCCTGTGGGCTTCGCTGTAAGACAGACACAAAGGGATCAGGCCTGGGGAGTAATGTGCACACTCTGGGCACCTGGCACCACCCCCATGCCACCCCAATCAGCTCCCTGATGTACCTGGGACCCAACGCTGAGGGCCTGGGACCCCAGACCTCTGTCCTACCCCTGTGCCAGCCCTGTCTGAACCAAGGAGCTGCATCCTGCCAACCTGGGCATGAAGCAGGAGGGGCCCCAGATGTCTGAGCTTCTCTGCCAGCTGACACCAGCCCTGCAACCAAATCCTAACCAAGGCTCTGGAGGGGCTGGAAGCTAGTCTCCCCTTGCTTTCCATTCCTGCACATGCCTCTGTGCTCCTGGCCTTGGATGGGAATGGAGACCTCCCAAGGAACAACCACTGAAGCAAACACCATTCCCACAGGATTTCAGGGTGATCCCGGCACTGGGGAGCCAGAAACCTTGAGTCTGCAGCCTGAGGAGATGCAGGAAAGCGTCCAAGCCCCCAGCCCTGGGGATTCACCCTGCTCCATATTTCCTGCTGTTTGAGTGGGCTCTTCTGATGCGTAGGTGACACTTCTCTGCTAGTGTTAGAGCTACCGCAGTGACAAGTCCTGACTGCAGTAGCAAGAACTGGAAGATGCTGGTGAGAAAACAGCATTTCACGGATTTCCCTCTGGGAACCCCTCGAACGTTTACTACAGCCCCTAGACAAAGGCCTGACTGCTAACAGCCGTGCACACTAAGTTTTACTGTTCCCAGAGAAGTCAGTCAGCAAAGACAAGCTGCTTAATTGCAGCTTAGGCAGAGAAATGGACATTTTTATAATTCATTGATTCAAGGAATCCACGAGACGATGTACCTCCCTTTGAAGGAACTGCCCATGGTGCATCCCCACTTCCTGGCTCTGGTTAACTGGTCAAGAAAGTCACAGACAAGGGGAGCTAAACTCCCCACCAGAAACCCAGCTGCGGCTGTGTCTCCTCACCCACCGCTGTGTTAAATCCCTCTGCCACTCCAGCAAGACACGGCTCTGTGCCACTCACCCCTGTTTCCTTTCTTGATGCTGATAACTGAATAGAGCACGTCTCCACTCTCCTGCTCCTGGGGACACACTGGAAGAAAAAGGCAGGTCTCACTTAGTCCTTGTTGACCCTAGAGCCATGCTATGCTCCCCCTGCTCCCTAGCACCGCAGTCCCACCCAGGCAGCCCAGGCACAAGCCCCCAGGCAGCAGCAGGCTGGCCAAGGCCATCAGGGGTTAGCTGTACTTTAGCAGGGCTGAGCACCGATCGAGTGGGATCACTCCAGCCAGAGTAGCTCCGTGCCCCAGTGGAAGCCAATAAGCTGAAACTGTCCAGCCATGCTCCCCGTGCTCCTCTGCGGTGGCACAGGGCACTACCAGGCTTTGGGCATCTCGCAGACTGCCCTGCTTGCAGGAGCCAAGGGGATCATGGCAGCAGTGCTTGGTGCACATCATGATGGAAGTGGTCCAGGACAGTCCCAGTGTGGAGGTGCCAGGTCCGCAGGGTGACTCTGCCTGGCTGGTGCAGATATGTTGGCCTGTGCAAGGGCAGCTAGTTCAGTTCCCAGTGACCCAGTTCTTTGGTGATGGGCTCTTGACCTGGAGACCACAACACCCTGCCCCTCATGTCTAGCTGACTGGGAAGGGTCTGGCTGATGGGAGGGGGCTCTGAAGGGCCTGGGATGGAGAAGGCATCTAGGCAGCTGTCTACTGGAGACAAGACAAGGCACACTGGCATTCATCATCCCCTGGAATGACGGGCAGGGTCAGAGCTGCTGGGTCTGAGTGGACCCTCCCAGGGGGCACCACAGCCCATCTGTACCCATGGGTGCCACAGAGCCAGAGTAGGAGAACATCCCTGGTACAGCTCCAGCTTGGGACATTACTCCTCTGCCCTGATCAGTTGGCTCATCTGCCCACACTGAAAGGGTTTTACCATTGTCATACTCTGGCTCCAGCTCCAGGGAGCCCACGGCAGCCGGGGGAGGCAGCCTCTGGGCAGGGAGCTCCTGCTGCGCTGGGCTCAGAGTGCGCCTGTGGAGAAGAAGATGCAGTGAGAGCAAGGGAACAACGTGGATACACACAGAGCAGGGCACAAGCAGACAGACAGACAGAGACAGATGGACAAAGAAGGCACCTACACCTGGGGACCAGATTCACATTCATGCCAAGAGCCTTCTGTGGCCTGAGCTGGGCCTGGAGAAGAACAGGCCTCAGTGCAAGGGAGAATCAAGCCCTGGCAAGGTCTGTGGTTCTGGGTCTCAGCCCAGTCCCTGCTCTAACAACATGACTTGTCTGCACCTGGTCTCAGACACTCACGTGATGCTCCCCAGCATCTGCCAGAGACCAGGCAGGGAAAACCCTGGATGTTCCTGCAAGCCATGCCAAAGCCCCTTCGCCCAACACTGCCCTCAGTAAAGTCCTGCTGCAGTCTCTGTCCCACATCCAGTGGGGATTCCCTCCTGTGCCCTTCCTCAGGGATGGGGGTTCCCTGTCACTGCCATGCACCTGGGCTGAGCATGCCCTGATGTGTGCCCAGCCTCAGACTCATTGACCAGCAAGCACCAAGGGTCCCTCATGCCCACCTCAGGGTGGTGGCAGAGGGGATGGTGACAGCCACCTTCAGAGCCCTAGATGGCTGCACCCGCAAGACCCAGCTCCAGTCATCACCAGGGAAGGGGCAGCTGCAGCAGTAGCTGAGGGATGACCCCGGCACTGAGCATGAAGTAACCCAAGACCCTAAAAACAAGACAACACTGAACTCACCCCTCACCACCTCCCAGTGCCCTGGGAGCACTGCAACAACCTGCCTGCTCCCAGGGCTGCACTCACCTCCACTGAGCAGTGAAAAATGTCTCTTCTGCAAGCAAGTGAGAAAAGGGGTGTTAGACACTTGCCCCAGCTGCCAGGCATTGCTGGCTTTTGCACGAACACGAGAGACAATGGCTGGGGAGCTGGGGTGGGAATGGTGATGGAGAGATCAGCTTCCACTGTGCAACCTCAAAGGTTGAGGCCAGGGCAGCTGGCAGGGGTGAGCGAGGAAGAGCTGAAACCAGCATCCAGGCTCATGCTTCCAGCCCCAGCCCCTGCTGCAGCTCTTGGGCAAGGTGCAGTGGGAATCCAGGGACTCACCCAGTTGTCCCTGTGGGGCTGGCAGGAGACAGGCTGTGGCTGCAGCAGGGCAGAGAGGGAGCAAACACCATGGACACACAGAGGGAGTTTGAATCCCTGTGTCTGTGCCCGCTTTATACCCATGTTCCCCACAAGCACCTGCATGGGTGTGATCCTCAGACACAATCAGCAATGCCTGTGTATTTCAGAGGGCCTGCATGGCAAGGTCTGCATGCTGGGAGTGGGGCCAAGGCAGATACCTACCTGTTTTCTGCCGGTACCTGATGTAGAGCACAGCAGCCAATATGGCACCGACCAGGCACAGGAGGGCGACTATCACACCCGTGACAGATGCACTCGCAGCCATCTGGGCACTCACGTCTGCTGGGGAGACAAAGAAAAACCTACTCAGGAACCTCTGGCACCCACAGCACCAAGTGTCTGTGCTTACTGCATCCATGCGTCCAGTCCCTGTTGCTGCAGGCAGCACCTCCTATGATCCTCCAGCAGCTGACACCGAGCCAGCATCCCCTACCCCACTGCTCTGACTGGATGGCGGCTTCAGAGCCTTGCAGCACCGAGGACCAGGAGCTGCCTTCTGATTCATAGCCACAGCAACACCTGCTGCTTCATTCCCATCTGCCCTTGTGCCAGCACTGGCCTTTTCCATCAGATCTTGTCCCTCCCTGGTGCTCATCCCCAAGCAGCGCACAGGGAGTGTGAGTCCCAAGTCCAGCACATGCCCTCCCCGCCCAACCCAGCTGAGCCCTCGCCCAACAAGTGCTTCACTCCCCGAACACTGCGCCAGCCCTCCCCTGTGCTGCCCCAGGCTGCATTCTGCCTTCCCACAGTGCCTGGGGCTGTGCACATGTCCCCAGGCAAGGGGCCACCAGGGCTTTGGGCCACGGCATTAATCCCTCCCTGTCTCCACTGGCAGCAGCCACCCAAGACATCCCGGTACATCGCTCTGGCCTCTCCACAGCTGCTTGTGCTGGTTGCTCAGCCATTCGGTGATGGACTGATGCACCTGAGATCTTCCTCCTCAGTCTTTCCCATCCAAAGAGCTTCTGGCTGGGAGCAGCCCCAAGCACATAACCCATCCTGACCCCATTGCCTGGGGGCTCAGGGTCACCCCATCTGGTCTGTGCAATGCCCTCCTCTCTTGACAGTGCTCCCCATGCCGTGTCACTGGCAGAGCTCCCCAGCACCATCCTCCTTTCTGTGCCAAGGTGGCTCATGGAAATGTTAAGTAACACTGGTCTCAAGACTGACCTAGAGCAGCGCCTCTGACCACCCCCCTCCAGCCTGATACTTTCCTTCCAATGCAAGCCTCTACTGTTGCCCTGGGGATGCCCCTTTTACCCCTTTTACAGCCCTAGCATTATGGGCACTGGGGAGTTGTAAGCAGCAGCACCCCTGTGCCAACAGCATCAAACACATGGGAGCTGGGCCACTGAAATCTGTGCAGGGTCTCGTCTCGGTCATTAGCCTGCAGCACCTCCCAGCTTTCCCATAGCACTATGCCCTCCCTACTGCCCCACTGCCTCCCCTCCTTCCCACCCCTCTTCAGCAGGCTCCTGGCAGGCACCCCAGATCCTACTAAGGGCAGTTATGGTCCAAAAGCTCCTTCCCAGCTCTGACCCATGTGGCAGAGACACGGCCTGGCCTAGAATCAGGCTGGGATCTCAGATGTACCAGAATGAGGATGGATCCCTCTTGGTACTAAATCTGTCCCCATCTCATCTCACCATGAAATCCAGGCTGGGTGCAAAGCCCCCAGTGGGGTCTTGAATCTGACTCTGCAGCTGGTCATAACGCTGACCCTGATCCTATCCCAAGCCCCACCCAGCCTGTCCCTCAGCCAGCCCCAGGCCTTACCTCTCACGGTGATGGCCAGAATCTCGCTGGGGGCCAGGAAGACTCTCTGGGGACTGAGCTGGTTGCTGGCGATGCACTGGTAATTCCCCGCATGGCCCAGCTGCACCGACTCCACATACAGGACGTTCCCCACAGGAGAGAGCAGGCCCAGCCCTGAGGCCACGTCCAGTTCCTGAGTGTCATGAACCCACCTGAACACTGGGTCTGTCCCCACCTGCACCGAGCAGCTGAGATTCAGGCTTTCTCCCACCATGAGCACTGGATCCAGCTTATCTGTGGTGATGTTGGCCCCAGCCACCGGCACTGCAAGCACAAGGGAGAGGGCATGAGCACAGAATGGGGCTGGGGGGAGAAGGAGGCTGGAGAAGAGGGCTCCTGCCTGTGCTCTAGTTCACATGGAGAAAAGTGGTGTGAATGGGGCAGGGAGGAGGGGGGCAGTCATAGAGAACAGGCTGCAGGGACCCACGCTGCCCTGGCCATGTGGACAGAGTAGAGGGGACCAGCAGGGCACTTGCTCCCAGGTGGGGTAGTGGGGTGGGCGCCAGTGCCCCATGCCATGCTGCTCAGAACAGTTGTGTGGGCTCTAGAGGCAGCAGTGCCCAGACCTCCTGCAGGAGGGGCAAGGATGCCAGCTTCCCTCACACCCTCACCTTGAAGCCCTCCTGTCCCTGACGCAGAGTTTGGGGGGCTCCAAAGAGGTGGCCCAGCCCTAGCAAGGGAGCCCCTCCAAGGCCGATCCTGCAGGTGGATGGGAGAGCTGGTTGAAAGTGCAATGACCCCCATGCTTTCCGAACAGGTGCTGTTTCCTGCTCCCAGTAAGATCAGAGTGGATGAGAGCAATGCGCCTTGAAGCAACGAGGGCATTGGAACTGCAAGAGGCAAGGATTTCTGAGGGCAATCTCATTTATTGGACCAACCATACAGTTGGGATAAAGTTAGACAAACTTTCGAGTGCTTTGGAGCTGGACGTTTTGCACAGCCAGGCTGACACCCTACACAGCCCCCTGGGAGCTGACTATCCATGGGATGTTTAATTAGCTGATTAGACTGAGAAGAAAGGGTTTGAGTTTGGCCTTTGGAAGAGACCAGCTACACGACAGAAGGGATCTGCCGCACAAAGAAGAAGGGAACACCCTCCTGGATTGTAGAGACTTGTGTCAACATGCAGGCACTGCTCTCATGCATGAGTATGGCCACACGTGTGTGCTCTGCTACCCCAGGACACCTCCCCTCTGGGGAAACACAATCATCCCCTGGCCTACCTAGCACAGCGAGGTGGGAGGGGGCGCTGCGCTGGGGGCCGTCACCCACACCATTGTCAGCCTCGCAGGAGTAGGCTCCAGAGTCGCTCTTGGATGTCAGGTTGATGGTGATGGACCCTGGCCCATGGGCACTGACTGTCCTGGTTCCCAGCAGGGCTCCCTCGTGATGAAACCGATAGACCACAGGAGCTGAGCCCCGGTGCGACTCACATTGGATCTCCACTGCATCCCCGATGGCGGCCCAGAAGCCGTCTGCACTAAGGGTCAGGACAGGCGGGGACACCGGGACTGACAGAGAGAACAGGTCACGTCACAGCTCCGTCTGCCCCAGGGAGCTTGGAGGAGGACGAGGGAGGGGGCATTTGCTCACTACAGCTGTCAGCTATTGGGAGCCAGGGTGGCCCTTGGGTCCATGTTTGTGCAGTGCCCGCATGTGGGGCCTCCTGGGCACTTCCAAAGCCCAAACCCCAGTGCTGATGCTCCCCCAGGAAAGGGGACAGGTTTGCTCTGAGACCTGAGAACTTCAGCCCTTGGCTCCAGGATGCCCTGGGCCTGGCTAGGAGCAGCCGTGTCAGCTGACATGAATCCCATGGACATGTGTGGAGCCCACGCCTGCTATGGGGTCTTCTGGCCTCTCACATGGGGCCAGGGCCACACACCCAGGGCAGTGTGTAGGCTGCTACAGCATCTCTCCCACTGGTTATTTAGCTGAGGTGGCTTGTATTGCTTTTTGAGAGCTAAGGAAGGGCATTTTATGCCCCTAAACTTCTCTAACATCCCTCCCAACTGTGAAGTTGGCCTAAGAAAAGACATTGGCAAATACATCTTGCTTCTTGCTCATTCCCTGGATAATCACTCCCAGAACAGCACTCCAGCATGGCTCCTCGCACGTTCTTATTGCACTTTCTCACTTGCCCAGGGTGAGCAAGAGGAAGAGACAAGTGAGAGGTAATGGACAAGAAAAGCCCAGCATGGGATTCCTCCAGAGATATTTCTCACTGTGGCCACAAAATGCTCCTGAGGGAGATGAAGGGCTTCAATGGGATGAAAACGTGGCCCCAGACCTGGCTGCCAGGAGCCCCCATGGTAGCAGAGTGGTGACAAGCGGGTGCTGCCCCCCCACACCCTGCAGGGACGCCCCGCTGCCCCCGGCCTCCTGCTGCCACAGCCGCCTCCCTCATGGCACTGCCTGCGCAGAGCAGCCTCCCGCCTCCCCTCCCAGCAGCCTGGGCCCCAGCACCATTATCCACCAGCACCCACCCCACAGGGCCTGGGACTGCTGGGAGTCACGTCCTCCCCAGGGAAACAACATGTCCCCATCCTCCCGTCAGCTGGGACCCACTCACCCCACACTGTGACTGTCGCCTGTGGCCTCAGGACCGGGTCGTGGCCATTCGAGGCAGCGCAGTAATACTCCCCGGCATCTCTCTCCATGGCAGCAGGGATCTTGTAGTCTGTCCTCCGTAAGCGCAGAGTCTCTGTCCTCAGAGCCAGGCCAGAGCCCTCCCGGTGCCAAGAGAAGGTGAGTGGCCCCGTGCCCGCAGCCACGGAGCAGTTCAGCACCAGTCCCTCTCCTGCCACCACCTGCCCATTGCGGGGCTGCACCCCCAGGGTGACTCCGGAGACGGGGACTCCTGCGGGGAGACCAAGAGGGGAGTGGGTCCCGCTGCACTGACCCAGCCCCAGGATGCAGGGATGTCCAGGGAGCTCAGCTTCTGCCCCAGTCAGGACCACAAGCCCCACCTGCACATCAGTTATGGGAGGTGGGGCGTCTCCTGGAGACACCCCAGAATGACAGCCCTGTGCTCACATCAACATGGGGTAGAGGCCCAGGTGGGGCCAGGGGCAGGGGACACAACAGAAGATGGGCATGTGCTTCCTACAAGGCATGGGATCAGCTCAGCCCCACACTATAGGGCATGGGGCTGGGCCCACCCACCCCTGTGCAGGGCCATGGGGACCCAGCTCTGGCCAGCAGGAGGCCTGGAGCAGCAGCCAGCACTCTCCTTAGGCCACGGTCACTGGGCAGCGGGGCTCACACCTCCTGGCAGTGCTGCAGGGACCTGTGGGGACCGCTGCCTTCCTCCCAGCTGCACCCTCCTCCAGGCTGAGGTTTCCCTGGCACTGGCCGAGATACCTGCTGTGTGTGTTGTGGGCTGGGAGCAGCTAAAAGAAAGCAAATGTTTCTCCTTTTCTAAGATTTTTTGTGACAATTTTCAAACAAAAATTCACAAAGAAATGTTTCAAGGCAAAGCAGAGTAGGGGCAAGACGGGGCCATGCCCCTGCCCTTCCACTCTTTGTTTCAGGTCCTGCCTACCCCATGGCCCTAGGGCACCAAGTTTGATCAATGCAAACTCCTGTACGCTGGTCCCTCCCTTTGGGGTTCCAGACCTTGCTGGGACAGCACACTCCTGGCCAGGGTTTCAGTGTTACCGGTACGGGCCATGTTCCCAAACATGCCTCACCTCTGCAGCCACCACAGTGACGCACACAGCCAGGCTCCATCAGCTTAGCACAATGTCAAGTGCTTCAGGCCAAAATGCCAACCATAAAACCCACAGGTCACATTTGGCCTGCAAAACCATTGCATCTGGCCCACTGATAGTCCAGCAGGCTACTAGAAGGTGTGAGGTGTGGCCTGCCACAGAATTCAGGGTCCCTGGATCCTGATGGACATTGACCATCAGCAGCAGACCCATGGACCTGTGCTGCTGCCTGCCACAGCCCCATCACAGGTGCTGCTGGCCCATGGATCCAGACTGGGAGGAGCCCCCGTGGTCTAGATCGGGGCCAAGGTGGGTTTGACACCCTGTCTTAGGGAATCCACAATCCTGCCCCAAAATCCCCATCACAGACACTCACGTTTAACCTCGATGTCTAGTTCGGGGCTCCGTTTCCGTACACTTGAGGTCACCACCTGCACCACACAAAAGTAGAGTCCCGAGTCTGCCAGCCCTGCCTCTGGGATCTGGTACTCGGGGGAGCTCGTTGGCTCTCTCACAATCGTGGTGCTCTTGTAGAAGGAGTACTGAAGTTGTGAGTTTGATTTCCGGGGATTGAGCCGTGTGACACATTGCAGGGTCAGTGGGCTTTCTTCTATGGCTTTAGCTGAGCCAGCCACCCTCAACTCCGGTGTTGAAAAGAGCTCTATAAAGAGATCAGACTGGGTCACCCCACAGTGTTTAGCCCAGGCGAGCAATTATTTGAGGCCACAGGCTACACAGACAGTTCTGGGGAGCTGCCGCAGACCAGTCAGTACCACCCCCCCACCCTGCCAGCAGCCCATGCATCATCGCCAACAGCACGCAGCCCCAGCCCCAACACCGGCCTGCCTCTAGACCAGCTGGTACCCGCATGCACAGCCCTGACCCGGCCTGTCCCACCCCTGCTCTGGACCACCCGGCTACACTGAGCAGCACCAGTTGCTAGGCAGAAACTGCTGCTGGGCCTGGGGGAAAAGTGCCTCCCTCCCGCCCCCCACCACTACCAGGCCCTTCTTGCTGCAGCTGCCCGGAGCCCGTGCCCCGGCTGCCCTGGGCCTCCTCTCCACTGCCGTCACTGCCGCCTCCGAGCCACCCAGCAGGGCAGCAGTGGCAGCCTGGGCATGGGCTCCTGGCAGTTGCAGCAAGAAGAGCCTTGCAGCAGCAAAGGGGAGAGGCCGCTTTTCCCCCATGCAGAACAATAGCTTCTGCCCAGCCACTGCCGCTGCTGCCACTACATAGCATGAGCAGGTGAGTCTGGAGCTGGCATGGGGTGGGCCAGGGTGGGGGCTGTGTGCATAGGTGCCAGGTGGTCTGGAGCTGGTCCGCTTCACCAGGACACGTCCAGAGTGGGCCCAGGGTGGGCTGGGGTCAGGGCTGTGTGTGCGGGTCCTCTCCAGTACCATGGGGCTGGTGCCGGCAGCGGCAGCAGTCAGGAGTCACCACTCCCTGGGCTGCCTAGAAAGGGGAGCTGAGCACTACAACACACCCAGGTACACGGAGCAGCAGCAGGGGCCAGGCTCAACGTGAGCCCCTTACCGTGGAAAAAAAAGTCCCTCCATGGACCATATCTGGGCCATGGGCCATATTTTGTCCACCCCTGGTTTAGCCTCAGAGTTCATGGGCAGGCACAGGAGAGCCCTCGACTTCACAGGGGCCTGTCCCCTCTTTCCAAACCTCTGCTCCAAAATCCCCATGCAGCACAGTGAACACGTGTACTCAGGAGGTGAAATGTCTCTCTCCTGTGGATGGTTCCACAAAGTTGGGACAAGGGGAGGCAGGGCCAGGACTCTGGGTGGCTGGAAGGGCAGGGTATCCCAGAGCCGGCCAGGCAGTTCTGCCCCCTTGTCAGCTGTGTGTGATGTGTGGGGCTGGGGTTGGGTGAGGGGCTGGACTGGTTCCACTGTGAGGAGAGCCATGCTCCGGGGCTGGATCCAGTATAAGTCTCAGGCTTGGTTACTACATAAGGAACCTCACCGGCAATGTACTGCTCCCTTTGCTATGTAAGGCCCCTACAATGGACAGGTGGGGCACTGCAGAAGCACTCATTGTGTTGTCACTGTCACACTGCTGTCTACCCCACTATCTTTGCCTTTTCCCATCTCTACCACTGTGAGTTTTCTGCTCTGACAGCTGGAGATCAGGGGCTCTGTTCTGGTCTCACCTCCTCCTTGGCCTGGCTCTGCTGCACCACAACTAAACTGGGGCAGCCTGGAATGAGACTAGAGGCACCCAAGTGAATTACAGCCCCCTGAAGCCATCCAGCCCAAGGGAACCTTTCCCCTCACAGGTCACCAGTGGCCTCCTGCCCTGTATCCTGTGGCTGTCTTGTCTCGGCCCAACCGCACACTCACATCAGCCCCTTACCGTGGACAGAAACCAATACCTCATCGGAGGATTGTGTAGAATAAAGCAAAGGAGAATTCATTTTTCCTTCACATCGGTATCTGCCACTGTCCATCACCTTTGCTTGATCAATAGTATAACTGGACTGAACATGCCCTGGTGTGATGTCTCTTCCATCTCTGTAGTATCTCATATTGCCCACTTTACCACCTTTCCACCCGCAGCATCTCAGAACCAGCCGGTCCCCTTCAAACACTGCATAATGCGGGGCCTGGAGAATCAGCCAGTCTGAAAGAGAGAGACAGCGAGCAGGAGCTGCAGGGACCATTGCATGAGGTGCCGCACTCCTTGGTGCACTGTGCCTGGCAAGTCAGGGGCTGCAGGCTACACTGACAAGGGCAGTTTATGCATTGATGTGAGGGAGGGGCAGGCTCCTGGAAAAGTACCCTTTGCACAGCTCAAAATAACCTGGAGACTCCCTCTAGTGCTAGAGCAGAGCCAAAGAAATGTGCCCTGGGGCAGGGGCAGGACAGTCACACAACAGCCAGAGGGGCAAGGCCAGGCTGAGTGAGGGGGAAGGTGGGAAATGAGTGACAAGTCCCAAGAGTGGGTGACATGGGCAGCAGCAGCACAACAGGGCACTGGCTGGCAGCTCCCCCAGACAGGAGGCCATGCTGGCTGCCCACACCACTGCCCTGAGAGCTTCAGGAACAAACCGAGCACAGGGTCCTGTCCGGACTGACCCCCTGCACGGGCACAGCCCCCGCAACCCTGCAGTGCCACAGCAGGAAGTGTCTGCCTCACTGCTGCCATGTCTTTAGCAAACTGGGAGTGCATCCCAGAGACTCTGTCCTGAAGCTGGAGAGGTTGTCTCAGTCGGTCTCTGGAGAGCCCTGAGAGAGCAGGGGATGGGGGGCAGGCCCTGCACAGTTGTCCCCTGATATCAACTGCAGGAGGTCTCATTGGCCCCAGTGACCGGCCCAGAGCTGTGGGTCCCAGCAGTGGGTGCAGAGCAGGATGGAGCCCACCTGAGGGCACTCACCGTTAGAGACAGTCAGCTGGACGGGGTCACTGCGTGTGGAGCCACGGGTCTCGCACTGGTATTTGCCTCTATCTTTCATTGCTGCAGATTTAATTGGGAGGCTGTTCGTTTCTGTCCATTTCCAGAATTTTCCCTCAAAGTACCAAGAGGTGCGGGTGCTTCCAGGAGAGTGGGATCCAGTGCATCTCAGAGTGACACTCTCGTCCCTAAACACGGTGCTCCAGGGGGGGTCCAGGGTCAGCACGGCCTTCTGTGCAGCTGCTGGGGCCAGGCAGATGGGGAGGGAGGGAGCAGGAAAAGGAGAATTTAGTGCCCAGGTGGGTGGGATGAGATGCGCCCAAGCCCTGCATATGGGTCAGAGCCAGGGCACTGGCCGTGGTTACACTTCTAGGCTGGGATTTCAAAGGAGCTCAGAGAAGTTTGGGTCCAATCCAGTGCCAGCTATTGTCTAGTCAACTGTACAGTGGGGTAAGGCCACAGTGGTACCCCTGGTGCCTGGGCACTGTCCTGCTCCAGGAAGCACTGGAGAAGTGCAACAGCAGTTCCCCTTCCAGGAAATGGGGTTGTACAATTGTCTCTCAGCAGCTTTCCTCCCTCCCCACCTCCCCACTACCACCCTGTGCCCAGGGACAGCCAAGTGCTAGGGGTCGGGAGGTTGGAATTTCTACAGGAAAATTGGAGACAGGAGGACTCACCAGCTAAGCCAAGGGCATGAGCTGCAAAGATAACAAGACAGAACATGGATGCAGGCAAGGCCTGTTCCTTCCTGCCCAGCAGTACCAACATCAACCCTGAGGCTGTCCAAGGAAACCCAGAGGCCTGAGATGTCCAGGAGGTCAGACTGGCTTCCCACAGTGGTATGTTCTGTGAACAGACTCTGGCCCCAAGACCTGCCAAGAGAGTATCAGAGCCATCAGCCCCAGTGCACAGGTGGAGCAGAGACCACAAGGGGAGGGACTGGGGAGAGAGCTCCTTTCTGCAAGAGCCACTCACTCCACTGCACTCTCTAGTCAAGCACAGGCAGGAGCCAAGCCAGCCTGCCCCAGCGTGTGCCCAGGGAACCCACAGGCTGCAGGGCCAGCTTCAAGTCAATCATGGCCATTGGACATGGCCTGCAGCCCTCCCCACTGTCCCAGCATCCCCACCAAGCCTGTCCCACTGTCCTCCCACCCCTCACCCATGGGCATATCCCAGGGGCCAGACGGCCACACCAGAGCCTGCGATCCTTCAGATTTCTGGGCTGCAGCAGGCCTGGAGTTGGAGATTGCCCAACAGGGGAACATCAAGTGCTGGGTGTTTTATCTCTTTTCAGTTCTGGTCTTTTCTACATCTGAACCCTCGTCCCTTTTTCCCATCCTACTTTTGCTTCCAGTATCCACATCAGTCAGTTAAAAGAGAGACAAAGCATCCGCTTAACTCTTGGGTCTTCTCTAGATCATCTTTCACCTCTACCCCATCCTCACTGCATCGTGGTCTCACTTCTGTTCGTTGTGTGGTTCAAGTGCCTTTTGCTCTTTGCTGTCATTTCCTTTGCAAAGTCTGTCAGCTCTTACTGTGCCCCTCACATCTCCAGGACATGACTTTCTTTGCTAACCTGCCCTTCTGGCCATTCCCCAGAGGCTCTGCTTCCTCCTAGCATCATCCTAACAGAGCTATTTGTTCTCTGAGGTCTGAAGCTCTTTGCTGCAGTGAGGCATCTGAAGCCCCAATTCTGTCTCCACCTGCTAAGAATTTGCATAAGAGCAAAAATTTGCAATTTCAGCACTGAGCCAGTGTTTCTCAAGGCCACTGGTGTTAAGCTGGTGCAAGGGCTGATGAGTGCATTTGAGAAGCACAAGGTGGAGTATAGAAGTAGCAGCTGCAGCAACTGGGTGCTTTGTCTTTTTTCATAGGAAAAAATAACCATGTTCAGTCAGCTACAATCTCATTGGATAAACAGTTGGTCTCTGTTACTGAAATATGGTAGGATGGAGTGGGGTATTACTAAAATATGGTAGGATGGGGTGTCTGGGGTGCCTGGGAGAGGTAGCACCTCCAGAGAAAGAGTACATCACACTCGCCTGAGTGACTCTTCCTCTGTTGGTCCTCACCAGCACTCACCTCTCACCTGTGGCTCCAAGTAGCTGTCTGCATGCGACAGTAACCACACCCCAGTAAACCGCCTCAACGGGTGGGCCAAACCAGGTGAGGGTACCCAGTTGGGCCCCGGGGGGGAAACTACTGCAGGCCTGGCTGCCAAGCCTACCAAGTTTCAAGATGATAGGTGCAGGGGTTTGGGGGAAACTGCACCTCAAACTGCAGACAAGCAAAACTTGTGACATGGGTGACACTGTGTATGTTAAGGTGCAGCAGGGTGAAAGCTGCAGGTCTGCTAGCCTCTGATGCAGCCACAAAGCCTACCAGCTGTCAAGGAGATCAGTGCAGGGGGGGGCTAGGGCCCTGTACCCG